TTTTTTTTACTTAAAGTCATCACAGTGCCGGTTATAGTTAAGGGGTAACGATTGCTTATTAGAGCTTTCTTTTTCAGTTTATATTTTGTTTGAATAAATATGAATACTCGTTAAATATTCATAATTATTTGTGAATAAATATTTTTTAAAAACCCAAAATTTTTTTTGTATGAATATATGATTACATTTTTTTGTGATCATATATTCATGTGAAAATTTTGAATATAATTTGAAGCTCAATCACAAATTTTTGTATTCATCGGGTATATTAGTAACAACGCACTCTTCAGTTGCATAAAACCGATAACATACGCGCTGTACTTTTTAAAAAGTTATAAAAATTCATCTTGCTGAAATATGTCACTCCACCTGGTTCGCGGAGAGTTAAGAAGAGGATTTAGATCTTAAATGAAAGAGATATCACACTAAACTGAATAAAAAGTCATAATTTTAAAAAATTGATTTTAGCAATTTTCAAGCTTCTCTGATGATAACACAAACACGACTTGCATTTCTTCATGGATTCAGGATCTGTATAATTTTTTTTACGCAATTAGTAAAAGAAATCAATTTACTTTAAAAAAAATCTAAATTCTATTTAAAAATGCAAGTAGATCATATTGTTTCTCGAACTGGGTATATACAGGGTGTCTCATTTCAAAATGATAAATAAATATCTCTTGAATAGTACAGTTTAGAGAAAAATGTTTCGAAGGAGATGCATTTTGATCACATCGTTTTCCTTCTAGGGAAAGACGCCAAAAAGATATACTTTCCTGCATTTTTTTAATGAAATCATTTCTTCTTCTTCTTATGTTAGGCCTTTGGCCTGTTACACCTCTCATATGCTTGTGGTGCACATTCTAATTATTTAATTGCCACGAGCATATGGGATCTACAATTTTAAATACCGGTTCCGAATGGCGGATTTTTCGAGGTATTTCTGTGGACAAGGATACTCTCGGGAGATTGCCAGCCTTTTCCAAGAGGAGACACGAGCGTAAATATTTTGGTTCCTACTGGAATCAAACTCGGGACCTCTGGCATGATAGACCAGTACACTATCTGTCATGTCACGCTCGCGCTTTTGCCGCGCCCGCGCTCTTGCCACGCTCGCACTCTATCATGTCATTTTTACATAATATAATTCTTCAAATTACATTTAAAATTAAAAATAATGTAATAGGCTCCAACGAATAAAATTCAAATAATCAAATTGTAATAAGGCAAAGGAGCCACGCTTGTTGTTTATGCTATACAATATTTATGTTTATTGTAGACTAACAATTATGTGTACATACATACAGACGTTTCGACCTTTTCACGTCAAGTCCTCTTCAGTATAATAAAATTATCGCTACTATTTTACATTTCAAAATCTTTGTAAAATTATTGAGATCAGGGTTAGCAGGAAAAATCCAGTGGGTGGAAAAAACAAGGGTAAATTCTGGATTTTACCGGTCTGGAGTTTATCCACTGGAATAAAAAACTATAAAACTGCTGCTTTAAAATATAAGAACATGAAGGTGATTCGGTATCGATGCATCTCTCTTCTTTTACTTGATTTATTCATTTCACTCTTCCTGTCTGATTCACTTTTACTTGAATTACCATCATCGTTCTTTTCAAACTTACTACACTTTTGAAGATGTTGTTTCAGTCGTGGAGCTTTTCCACTAACTAATGTTCCACAAGCAATACATTTCTGCTTAATAATGTTGTCAACTGTACAAGATTCAAAGCAAGCCCATACAG